ATAAGATGTCTTTCCACAGAGGATGTTTGCTCTAATAATGTAATTTTTTTTGACAAAATGTCTACTATAATCAAACATTCCTTTCAGAAATTCTGCTCTTTAGCTAAATGCTATTATTCTAACAAGTAGCTAAGTTCAAGAACTGGACATTTTATTTGCAATCAGCAGCAGCTGTAGAATAAATAATTTCTAAACTTTCTATACATAAAAACAACTCAGAGAAGTTTAGGTTAAATATTTCTAATAGTGAATTACGCAAAGCAAATAAAAATCTTACAAAAATTTAAGAAATAAACAGCACCGTATTAGTAAGAATGGAAAACAAATTCGGAACTTTCAGTTTGTTAATTAAAAAAAAATGTTTAGGTCATTTATTCAATCAAACATTCCTTTCAGAAATTCTGCTCTTTAGCTAAATGCTATTATTCTAACAAGTAGCTAAGTTCAAGAACTGGACATTTTATTTGCAATCAGCAGCAGCTGTAGAATAATATATATGAACAATATGTACTCACCGATTCTTCTTTTATTTCTGACATGGCGTGTTACATTGTTTCCCGACACGCAAGTAAACAAACACAAGAAGAATACAAAGTGACAAACTTTATCCACATCCATGCCAGTGGATTAATTTCTTCTGAGTAGCACTTCGACTTAAATTTTGTAAGTTAAAGGAAACAATATTTCCTCGTAAGCGGATTACATAATTATCATTTCCTCAAGTCGTAATATTTACACAATATGAGAGAGCAACTTTTAACATGGTTCTTTCATTAATGTATCACAGCGAACATAAAAATGAGAACTGTGGCGAGATTAAAGCAGTTTTGCTTTTATACTGAATTCCATGTCTGTTTTTAAACAGCACATATTTCCTTTTCCAATTACGCTTTAATAACTGCAATATATCTAGTGCAGTTAATCCTGTAAAAAATGGCTTATTTTATACCTTGAGATATGTCGTCTCAATTTTACGGCTTTCTTAAAAAATTATAAAAAACATTAAATCTGTTGCATCTAAAATTTAGAATCGTTGGTCTAGAATTCTAAAACGATTGATTAAACTTGTATAGTAACAAAATCACACCTTTAATTTTTGTTTAAATAGAAATTGTTCTAGCTAATTAACCCAATTAAATGACACTAGCTAGTCTCATTAACATCGTTTCACATTTAAGTGCATTCATACATTATAATAGGAGAATTTTAGAAGACTTGACTCATTTTTTCATCATACTGAAATTATGCAACCTATTGAAATGTACATCAAATTATATATTGAAATTATATTCAACTAACCATATACATTTATTTATATGATTAGTTGAATAATCACTAATTCATTTAATTTTAAATAAATATAAGAGGTAACAGTAATTACATTTTATTTAATAATTTAATTTAATTTAATTAAAAAAGAAGCAAACAAAGAGAATCTGAAAGGGTTCAGATATCAGGTTTATTTATGCTCTCTTTGACCAGTGTAATTTACGAATCTGCTCTTGAACTCACTCTTGTTAATACAATTTTGTCTGGTTTAACATTACTACTTTAAGCACCATTTTCTTCGCACTAACGCCTCATAAAATTCAAGAACGAATTCACAGAATATTTAAATGTAGCATATTTTAGAATTCGCAATAGTATGTTTAGGTATTACATACATCATTTTTAATAAAGCGACTATAAAAGAAGTAATAATTTCTTTGAAAACTAACCGCCCGAGCAGTCTGCCGCATAAAAGAGATACGAGAAAAAAATATGCATAAGAATTTTTAATGTATCTAGCTAGTGCCATCTGAAAAAAATATTCAATATTTCTAATTAGACATTCCGTGATTTAAATGTGTTTAAATCACGTTGAAATCAATGAAATGATTTAAATCAATCAAATTAAAAAGTAGAAAAAATATCTTTAAGAACTGCATATATTACTTTTCAATCAATAAGTTTGCTACTGCGAAAGATGAAATTTGAAAATTAAATGACATATGCTTTACTGAATGGCAGCATGCTGGTAAGTACGTATAGCAAGTATGCAATTTGAGGCAATGGTTACACGTGGCTTTCAAACAGCCGAATTTTGGATCAAAATTGAATGCCTTACATTTTGCCAAATGGCAATAGTCTGGCCCGCTGGATCCTTTATAAAAATGTCTTGTTTATTGCAGTGTTGCCACTTCCCGCTTTCAAATCCCTGAGTTTGTTAATCTAAAATTTATTAAATTTCTACAAAAAATGAAACAACACCATAAACAAATTGTATATCTAATAAGCTTAAATAAAATTCGAGCACTTAAATAAAATTCGAGCTTCGAGTACTCACGTTCGAGTTGAAGACTGTGCATTAAATGTTCGATGCCTTTATACGTGGCGCCGCGTTTATCCCCAATGCAGGGAACATGTAAACATGCATACAGGGTTTTATTTCATTTTTTTAAATAATAACTTTCGATGACATTTAGTGCAACAATTTGGAAAGTGATTCGTATGAAAACGTGATACTAATAAAAAGCGAGTTTCGAGACTAATAGCGCCTCTGGTGATGAAAACGATGATATATCTGAATGTTGAATTCACGAATATTTGAATAGCTAGAAGAAATTTACTTTAAGAGAGTGTTTTCTCACTAAAACGATGCTTCAATTCCTAGAGACTCATCCAGTTCAGCTAAGCAATGTCATGTACTTCGCAAGCTACACTTACAATGTATATTCAGACGATATTACTTTACAATGTATATTCAGACATTTTTCATTTCTCAGAAAATTAAGAATCATAACGCAGCGTAGCATTTCACTTTCATGCCGAGGAAATGAGACATTACTTCCCATTATTTTTCTTCTACAAACTGCATATTTAATTGAATAATTAATGATTCTGTTTTGGGTTGCAGTAATTTGTTTTTTAATTATTACTATTATTTTCTTATTCTTATTACTTAAATTTCTTCTAGCTATTAAATTTCTTCTAGCTTCTAGCTTAAAGTAAATTTCTTCTAGCTTCACGAATATTCGTGAATTCAACATTGTTACTATAAATATTAAAATAACAAGTTCTTCTCATGGAGCGGTCCATGATGATTCTAGAGACATAATATTATAAAAACAAACATTCAGGCAAATTGTAGGCAAAATTATTTGTCTTAGATTTCATTATTTTTTCCCACAGAAGGATGATTCGCATTAAGCTTACATTGGAAAATGAAGCAAAATTCTTAAAAGTGTGTTTAATTTCAAGTATCTTACAGCGCTTCATGACACACCAGTTCGAAAATGCTGTAATACTGGAATAACATGCAAAACGTTAATTTGCTGAAACTTGAGTTCATCATATCTGTGATTCCTAAATATCAGCTAAGCATCTCAATCATTTGATCATTTTCTAGTGAAATCTACAAAAATTATTCAAATAGCTAAATGGTGTTGCTGGGAATCTAAACTGAATAAAGTTATACTAATTGTTTCGGAAAGAGTATAAGACTACATTTCTCTTGACCAATGGAACACGTATTTATTGTTCCGTGATTCCAGTTTAAAGAAGGAATCAAACGATGTATGCTTTTGGTGTGAAAAATAAGTTTTGAAACGGTGTCGTCTACAAAGAGGGTTTTAATCGATGTATTAGTCTTTAGTCTAAAACCTTTCAGGGAGAAAATTATTCTTTAATATGTAAAAATTTAACTAAATATTTTTTTTTTAAACGAGAGCCAGCCGAAAAACAGAAGATTAAATAACTTCATTTGAGCAATCTTTCAACAGTTTAATTTAAATAGCCTTTGAATATGAAATATACAGCTATACTTGTATTTTAAAAATTTTTATTCAAAAATGTAATAAGCTTAATTATTATTAATCTTCTAAATATTTCAATTAATATTATTTTAATCATATTTCATCGTACGATTTTGAATTATTTGTAAAGTTCCTTTATGTTAATTAACCAGTTATTTATGTTTTGAAGTTTTACAGTTACTTCATTTTCCAGCCAGAATGCAAAGTAGTTTGCACGCATTTGAGGTTTTTAGATTATAAGACAGCGCGCGCGTTCTGCCTTCCGACCCCAAGTTATCAGGTTGTTACATCAGGTAAAATTTGTAGTCTTCGACTTTGCATTATAACTGCCGATAGCTAATTATCAATACCAGTTTTGAGCCAACGTCACGTTAATTTATCTGTGTAGTATTTGGTAACTAGTTTATATAAATTAATTTTTACATTTGACTCACTGTTTCTTTAAGTTATCTGGCCACAAGCGGTTGGCTGAGTTGTAAGCACCAAGTGTGTCTCTTCTCTTCTTACTGAGTTTTAAATAAAGAATTTTTTATACACTTTTCAAGTTTTATTTGCTACTTACGATAATTCGGTGCCAGTCTATCTAAAGTTTGGTTACACTTTATGATGCCAAAGAAAATTGCTAAGCTTTATATATTTTCTAATAATTTGACTATGTAAAATATTATTTTCATTAGAATTTTTTCTACCATGCCTTTATAAAATTTAACTTACTTTATTAAATTTAATTATGATTCGTATGGTTTTTAGAAAGGGTATTAATTGATGAAATATCGACATTTAGGAAACAACAAAGACAATAGCTTCACAAGCATACTAATACAATAACCGAAAATTTACAGTTTATCCACTAAAATCTTTATGTGTTCCAGTTTTAATATTTTCCGGCACAAAGCTGCTATTTGGCAGCAAATGACACATAGAGATTACGTAACATATATTAAAACGTTTGATAATCTGAAAATATTTCTCATGTTTTTTACTACATTTATTTTCAGATTTCTGGAAGATAATAAACCAAGTTCATGTGATACTGAAATTTCTAAAGGCTTAAATATATATGTGATTATATAGAACATCGTAATGAAGGATTTATTCATGTTGAAGCCATCAGTTCTATACTTGCCAGAACCATCAGTAACTAATGCTTGAACACAGTAGTGAAAGGAAGCTGAAGAATTGAAAAGAAGAAACTAACCGCCTTACCTCCTTCAAAGTATTTTCTTCGTTTTTATTCCACTTCCTCTTCACTCATCTCTTTTTAGAAAGTACTTTAAAAAGCTCTTTTTTGTAGACTTGTTATATCGTCTTTTCCTTTAATTCCCTTTCCTTTATATCGCCTTTTCCTTTATTTTATATTCTGCTTAAAACAAAAGTTATCTTAAGATGGATAGCAATTTTAAGAGCAACAGATTTTGTGGAAGCAACAAACATGAAAAATTAGTAATACCCTCGTCAGGACCTAAATTCCAGAATTTTCGCTTGCTAGCCCGGACGTACTTTCCAATTACATAAGGAAGGTAACGCGGCAAAGAGAATGAAAAGGACTTATAAACTGTATACAGGGTTCTGAAATAATGTCCACCTTAAAAGGTCTTCTATTTTAACCAGAATATATGTTTGAGAAGAGAAGGAGTTGAGGAATCTGAAAATAAAAATTTTTAAGAAATTACGAGGAGATGTCACGCTGCAATAGATCTGTATTCCTAAAATTTTCGATTTTCTTCTTACGGCCTTTCTGAAACTTATCATAATATCCAAGTAAAACAGTGCGTCGACGGTTCCACCTCGTGAAACAAATTTATAATAACTAGTTGTTCCGATGAATGATAACAGTAAGAATAACTATAGTGTCTGACTGGTTTTATAGAGCAATTTTTTCTGCTATTGTGATATTAACTTCAGGTTAGTTTTGATTCCATATAATATTTTTGCCTTCATGCTTAATCACCTTTTACATCACTTTGCAAGAAATTTTAATTATTTTTATAGTGTTATTTATAGCATCTAACAAACTGGCTATATTATTCCTATCCTTTCTCTCTTATCAAGATACCATTCTCCTTTATTAGATACTACTCGTATTTTCATTGCATTCATTAATGATCAACCCACATGGCATTATTTTCCTGTAAGCAACGTTACACTTCTTTAACATTAGGATTATAACTCTGCAACGCGAACTTTAATGATGTCTCTCTCAGCAACTTCAAGAATATTAAACACGCCTCTTTTGTTATATTAGTATATCACAGACAGGCGTAATTGTATTAGTATTTACATTTCATGTTATCTATAATTACAATTTCAATGTAATCATAGTTTTGAAATATGAGTAGCGTTCCTTTCCAAAAAGTTTTGTGTACTTAAAAAATCAATTCCATCATTTCAATTCCTCTCTCTCTCAAAATCTTGGTGTATAGTGCTATCACAAATTATTTCATAGAAAAACGTTGTTCTGCAAGTTGCCTCCAACTTTAATTTGTAAAACATTGGCGAAAGGAGAAGAAAATAACTTCAGTTAGTTCACTGCATGGCCAACTGACAGGATGTGATTGGATAAGTAAGACTGAAGTCTCAAGCTTACCACTACTTACAAATAAACTAACTATATAGCGAGTATATTCTTTTAGGCTGCTGATGTTGTAGTTTCTGGGAAAACAACGAAGCTTCTCACAGGTAAACACCAATAGCTCAGACTGACATTACGTTCTTGAGCTGATTCGGTTATTAAAATTAATATTGTTGTACAAGAGCTGGTTAGACTTAGCTCACTTAGCTCAAGTCCAAAAATGTTTACGTTCTATATTAGAAGTGTGCTATTAACCTACTGAATGAAATACAAGGTAGTAAAAATGAGTCAGTTTTCTATCGCCTGGGAATATGACAATAATAATATGGGTCTAATAATAAAAAGCCTTTTTTCTTGTATCTCTCCATAAACATGAAAAATAATTATTTCACATAAATCTAGAAATTTTTGAGATATTTGAACATTTTATACACTTTAACATATCATTGTGATCTATGGCTTCTTTAAAATTGCTTTGATAATTACGCTAAACTAACAGGAAGAAATTTAAACTTGAATAAAGAAACTTGAGTTGAGGTAAATAACTTGTTATTAAAAACTTGACGTTGAAGTGAATAACAGGTCACACAATTATAAGTAGCTCAAAAAAATTAGAAATGAATTCTTCTATAATTGTTTAAATGCTCACTTACAGTTATAATACTTCTATCAGCTTACAGGCCATCACTTCATTGGTTGATTATACCAGACCAATTCCTTATCACACTTTCACAATTCTAAAATTTATCTATCGGTTTATTCTTGGCTTATTACTCTCTTTTCCGCGAACAAAATGTATTCAAAACAAGGTTCCGTTCAATTATTCTTTAAATATTCACTCAATTTCAACTAACTCAGTTTTCCATAACTAGAAGTTTTTCTTGAAACTGTAATTTATTTTCTTGTTATAACAAGACTTCTTGGGACAATAGTTAAGGAAATGATATAATGCCAAACACCTTGTACTAACGAAACTATTCACCCAAATATAAAAGAGATGAATTTGATGTTGCATTGCTAGCGCGAGTAATTTAAATCTAATAGAATATTCACCTGGCCACATTACCTGGAAAAGGAATGAAAGTTTACATTTGGGTGAATCACGCATCACGTGACCTAAGGCAGATGCTCTGGTTTGTATGTATAAATAACGCATGGCATTTCTTCCACTCCTTTCCTCAAGCTGTATAAGATGTCATTTTACGGCTTCCTGTTGTGGCAACCTTCTAGTACAGACAGCATGTCCATCAGCTTCACGAGCTTTTCTTGATCACTCTCTTCCTCGAATTGGGAGCAGAGGCGTAGTCATATCCTTCATATGATCGCAGAGTAGATATATGGAAGTCACATGGGGGAGAAAAAGGATTATTTGTAGCAGAGGTTAATTCGAATTATTCCACACACTTGGTGGCAAACACAAATGGTGGCTTGTGGTGAGAAAAACAGAAGTAACCTAAGTGCACGATAGGTTTTAATCCTGAACGAAAGACTGCTATAAGCAATTTAAAATAAGTAAACTTTACCTGGAATAAAAAATAATATTCCTAATATTATCCTTGAAATATTCTTTCACGGGCATCCCTCCATCCCGTCCCAGCTATTGCTTAGTATTATAAATAAATCTAAATATAATGAATCACATTCTCAGAAATAAATAAATATTTTTAGCATCCCAATTACTATACACAAACTTTCAACACAAGACAGTAATGGTTAAGAAGGCGTTATTAATATATGCTATCTATGATATTACTTTATCAGAAAGTTCTATTCTAATGCATATATCAATATTATAATTATAAAACCAAATCCACGGATTACAGGAACTAATATTCTTAACAATTCTAGTAGTCTTAACAATCTTTATGAAAATAACAATGACGCGAATACTTCTATACTTCTATACGATCATATAAAAAATTTGTAAGTTTTACAAAATATGAAAAATAAATTTCAAAGCTTTCAGGTTTTATATTACGCCGAATTTCTAACGCTTCGTGTTACCTTTATTTATTAAATATCATGTTGTTCGCACTTAAACCATAAAATTCAATTCAACAGCAATATCGCAAAATAATTTAAAAACAGCATCATATCTTTAGAATTTCTAATACACAGTCTCGTGCACTGAAGATAAAAATATTTTTTTTCCTTACTGTGTTGTCATTGCTCGCTTTGAAATCGTTGAGTCTCTTAATCTAAAACTCATAATCGCATAAACGCTTTACAAAATATGAAATAGGTAATAAAACAAATTCCAAATTTGGGCTTCCAGATGCCCATATTTGAGTGGAGACGTATGTTATTCAAAATTTGATTACTCTGGGTACCGTTGTTTTATCACAATGCGAGAAACATGTATACATTTATCCAAATTCTTCATTATTTTATTTCTTTAAATATAATGCAGGGCGATAATATTTTGTGGCAGCAATTTGAAATGTGAATCGATGCAAAATTCCGTTTTGAAATTTAATAGACCTTTGGGCTAATAAAAATAGCATTCCCAAACGTTAAATATATTATAATTATATATGGTCATATTCTGACGTTGAAGAAAGTATGTGATTGTTTGTTGAGTTTTTCGTTAATATCAGCATTTTAAACTGTTGGGAACTTTTTTGTTTCAGGTTAACCCGAAGTGTGAAACGTTTTTGTTTCCTGGTTTGGCAACAAAAAAATTATTTAAGAATTGGATGCTGCTTGGGAAGCATGAATTGATTTCATTTGTATTAAAGTGTTCTTTATACATTTTTTTTCACCGAACATGTAAGTTTTGCTTTGGCCGCAGCCGCTATTATAGTAATTATTTTATAAGCTGACGCTGTAACACCAAAATAAATAAATAGAACAGTTATGTTTCTAACAACTGAATACATATTAATTACACAAATGTATATGTCCATCGGCAATTTGAATAACATCCTCATTAGACATCTTATTGATTTCACTAAAAAATGGCTCTTCACAGGCTGTGATATTCCTCTCTTACTGTAAAATATTTAATAGGAAAATAAATTTATTAGAACCATGATAATAATTTGATTACAATTCTAAATACAATGTTGGATCGAATACAGAAAACATATTGTCATCATCAGTTTTATTAAAACATATTTGTACTTTTTTACGTTCAAATTTCACTTCATTCTACAAAAACTTCTTACTAAAGCAATAAACTAAACCGTAAAAACTAAAATATATGAACTGAATGGTATTAACTGAGGAGTTCTTTTCAACTATGGCCGGAAAACTTAGTACTATCACTTAATTACTATGTATAGTCCAAAATTCATTATTAAGTTAGGATCCTAACGCTGTAATTTTTGCCATGTATTCAACTTATTGAAAATCCATTTCAAGGAGTGACAGAAATTACAACCGGTGTAAATCTAATTAGCTCCACAATTCTCAGATCACTACTTCATAAATACTATATCCGACTAAACGGCAATCGATTTAATTGTCCAGGAATCGTGTCCGTCTTTATACCTAACGGAGGCGCATTCCAAAAATTTATTTAATGAATTCTTTAAGCAACTACTCGAATATTAGTGTGATAAGAATTAACCAATAATAATAACTAAATTGTTTTATACAAAAAGGTATCCATATTCTAAAACCGAAACTTAAGGTTATGTTCTCTTGACAGTATATACGAATCAAAATTTTAAATTACAATTCTCTATATTCATAAAAGAAATATCATTATTCAAACTTTTCTGTTAATAAAATGGTTATTATGAAGAAAATGCTGCGCTAATAAAAACACTACAAGAAGATCAGTTCAAATTCTCTTTATTTTCTGATCCTTAAATAAGCCTAAATCATAATTTTTGTTTAAGTAACAATTAATTTAACTTCTGAAATGGACAATATGCTTTAGGATAATACGTATCACTCTTCAGGTAAATCGATGTCAACAAATAAAGATATCTGATAGGGAAGTAAAAGTAGTTTACTGACAAATAAGAAATAGAACGTATCAAAACTCGCATTTCGAATACATAATGATCAATAAAATACTGTAATTACTCTAAACATAAGCGGAAAATAATATGTATCTTATAATCTCTTTTTTTAAGAGTTGCGATTTGGACAAATTAGCAAATCTAATGAAAAGAAATTATTGCAGACTCGTTATTTCTAATTTTTTCTTTAACGGACGAATGGCATTTATAAAATTTAAATTTTTTGTTTTGCTTTATCAATATGTTAGCAAATTGTATTTTTCATAATATTAAAGCTTCTAGAAGCGTTATTTTAAGCGCTGGGGAGAGTATTTACAAGAAGATGTTACTAAAAGTTAAAGTTAATGGAAGTGTTTTACGTTAACATTTGATTGCGTATTTTAAGTCGATAAATTTAATTAACGTTTCAGATGCCTGTTGTATAATACACTTTCTTACAGTTTAATACTGCATACAAAACTGCTGAACATAGTTCTGTATTATTTATTTTGTTTTATCGAATGTTCAAACATGCACTCACCTGAAGCAAACACATTTTAGTGCATTTCAATTATATCCAGTTCTATTTAATTTTTGAAAGTACTGACGTTATGGAATGTCGGTTATGTAACCTTTTTATTGCCTAAAATCTGGTGTCATAAGCAAATGAAAGAAAAGTAACTTTTGATGTGAAATAATAATATAATCGAGAAGATGCAGCTAAAAGTTTTTGTTAAAATATAAACCTTGGATATAGGGAAAAAAAATAGTTACATCACGCAAGTCCTTCGCTTATTACATGATCTAAAATGCTAATGTAATTTCAATGATAGACAATCAGTGCTATGAGCAATCGATACATTGTTAATAAGTAGCGACAAATGCTATTGATTATAAATAGGTAGCGACAAATGCTATGTTGTGATCAATGCATTGTAGTAAGTCTTTATTCAAAGGATTAAATAATGTTTAACTGAGAAAACTTGTACTGCAACTAATAAATTAAATTAAATTTCAGCTCCAACTGTGGTCTGACTTTCAGAGTTCTACTGATTGCTGAGTTAATTAAAATGTGGATATGTTCTATAGAATACTGAGGTATTTTATAAAATCCTGATAACTGGCTGGCAATGTACATAAACTATTTTTATTTCACACATTTTCTAGACATTCTACAGAATGCTAAATAATAAACCGCTAAAATAGGAAATACATCCCTGTATTACCTGTATATACAGTACCTAAGGAAAGTACGTAATAATTTGAGTTATTGGCAGTTGTAATGCCTGTGCAATAAGGCGTTTTCTATCAACTTGAAACTTCTGAAAGAATTTTAAAACAACTATAAGCGGGATCAGTATTCATTTTATGCCCACGAAATTCCCCTGCAATCAGCTGCAGTTGCTCATTCGACTGAAAACGGCCAAGGATTCCTCAGGTATATATGTGAATTAAATATGAAATCTTTTTGCGGGAAAAAGATAATGAAGTGTAATTCAGAATATCATTTCAAGCATACCATGTTGCAACGAGTAAGTTAATTTCAATATTTTATTTTTATATGAAAATTTTATTTTCTTTAGTCAGAAAGGGCATAAATTTTGTTTTGTTCAATGCCCTTTCTTTCAACATAATCTAGCCCACCAGCGGCCGAGCGGTAAAGTCGCTGAACACTGGTAGTTCGGTCCGAGGTTCGAATCCCACGAACGGGCTGGCTGCATGGGCGTTTTCGTGGTTTTCCCCATGTGTAACGTGTATACGAGCCAGTTTCCCTTAGAAAGTCCTCCATGAAGGCATCCCTCCCCTTAGGCAGATAGCCCTCGAGGCTTTGCCGTAATCACACACACACACACTCAACATAATCTAATAAGAGTTTTTAATGCCCGTCTTTTATTAAGTTTTTTAAAATAACATTTGTATTTTTGACAAATGCACTTTTTAGAAATTAGCCTTGACATGACCTGTTTTCATTATTTGCCTGAATAGCATTTATCATTCTATATAATGCCTAGTTATTATATACAATGCACAGGGAAAGCATATGATAATT